GTTTTTTTTTTTTTTTTAAATCTTGGAGCCAACATTTGTGATTGGATAAGTTCGACCTGCGGAGTTAGGTTCACGGTCTTCTCACGGAGGGGCTGAGCAGGGTCTCAGAGAAAAGGTTCCGGGACTTCGGGGACTGTCTGAGGTCTTGAAGAGCCCTTTTTCCTTGCAGGAAGACGAGGAACCAAGATGTTTTTGCTTTTTGAGGGATGTGTGACAGTGTGGCTCAGACTTCGAGAGAGACAGGACGCCCGGGGCCGTGCCGAGCCCGGGGCCCCAACACGAGGAAAAAGAAGTGGAAAAGCGGAGCTACAGAACTTTTACAAGGTCCCAGGCCGCGCGCAGCGTGGCCCAGAAGGGCGAGCTCTTCTCCAGAGAGGCGCCAGCACACGAGAATTTTTTTCGAGGTTTTCGAGAGCCCCCGAGGCCTGGAAGCTGGTGGCGAAGGCGGAGGAGGCCATGGCGGCGGAAGGCCTTTCAGCAAAGCCCAAAAGCTGGCTTTTACAGCAGAGGGTCAACCTGCGAACCCTAAAGCATTCCCACAGAGCACGCGCCGCACCCCGCTCACGGCCACCTTCTCCAGCATCCAGCACCCATGCCGCAACGTGCCGCACCCCTTCTCTTGGCCGCCGTCCCTGACCACCACCACCCGCGCCGCTCAGCCACCGCCACCATGCACTCCCAACCGCGCCGCACTGTGCCGCATGCGATCACCATCAGCAACCACCCCACTCACTCTCTGCAACCAACCTCCCCGCAACCGCCAACCCTCCGCGACCAACCTCCCCGGANNGCCATTCCGTATCGCTGCCCGCCCGTCGGAAAACCCAAAGAAGAACCTGACCAAGGCGAGACGCGGAGGGCGGCGCTGCGCGGAGCAGATGTCCGGCAGCTTGCGCGGGCCCTCTTCGAGGCCACCTGCTGGCCAGTGCTCGCCTCGCCAGGGACTCAGAGAGACTTCTTAGTGGCTTAGCGCCTTTCTTCTTTGCTGCTTTTTCAAGACAGCTCTGAGCTCTTTTGCTGTTTTGAGGCTGTCCGTGGTGCTGGAGACGCAGGAAGAGCCCGAGTGTATCGAGCTGTGCATCACGGGCTTCCAGCAGTGCATTCGCACGGCTGCGCGCCTCGCGGCGGCAAGGACCCGCAGAAAAGAGTCTGACAGAGAGAGTTGAAGTTTGTTTGTAAGGCATGCAGATGGATGTGGAGCGAGGCATGGAGTGCCTCTAAATTGTTTTTGTCTGGCCCCGGGTGCCTGCTGGTGCCCAGAAAACCTGCCAGACGCTATCGTCTCCTCCCTCGCCAAATTCACGTACCTGACCACTCTCAAAGAGCGACTTTGTATGCAGCTGGCGCAGGTGGAGCACTGCGGGGCACTGCAAGCTATGCAGTGCAGCTTAGGCTGCAGCTGACTTTAGCCACAGCCAAGGATGAGGCAGAAGAATATCGAGTGCATCCGTGTGCTCATGGCCATCGGTATCTCCGAGGGCAACAACCTGGGCTCTTCCTGGCAATACGTTTTACATTGCATCTCACAGCTCGAGCGCTTGCAGCTGCTGAGAACCCGCGCCTTGCAGGCCAGACATCTCCAGATGTAAAAGGGTGTAGATTACGGTGCCAAGCCAGGTCCACAAGTATACATTTCTTATGAGACCGCTTATTCGAGGCGACCTAGCAATATTTTTTCCTAAGGGGTAGTCCAGCAGCTGCCCAGAGCCTCAACAATACGAATGTTTAGGGGGACCTCAATTTTCCGTCAAAGCGGGGGACCCTAAAATAGCAGAAAGCAAAAACCTTTTACTTTTCAAGGCTCAGCACTAAATAGCCAAGCTTCCCCGATCCCCTCCTATTGAATGTAATCTGAACCTAGGATCCGAGCCGATCCTGATCCCTCCTATGGAATTTAAGTTAAACCTAGGATCCGAAACGATCCTGATCCATGCTATTGAATTTAATTCAACCTAGGATCCGAACCGATCCTGATCCATCTTCTTGAATTACATTCAAACCTTGGCAAAGAGCCGATCCTGATCCCTCGTATTGAATTTTAATTAAAACCTAGGATCCAGATTCGTTTGGGGCCCCCCGCCTCTCTTCACTACATTGGCTTCCATTTTTGTTTGGGGATATCCCCGATCAGGACCCCACATTACTGCGTCGACCTGCGCACCCCCTCCGGACCGCCTCCGTTGCCCAATCCTCGTGCACTCCTGCCTTGCACTTTTCCGCGGAAAACGTTTCTCCGGAAGCCCCAAGACAAGCGTCAGCCGGTGCTCCCTCCAAAATGCCCTACCCCGTCCCAGAGCGCATTTTGGACACTGCTTGCCAGGAAGGGTTTAAGGCCCCAAGACCCAGCATCAGGACCCCATCCCGGAGCGCATTTTGGACAGTGCTTGCCAAAGCCCCCAAGACCCAGCATCTGCCTCCAAAATGCTCTACCCCGTCCCGGAGCGCATTTTCAACAGTGCTTGTCAGGCAACCCCCACAAAGGCCCAAGATCCAGCTATGATTTTGGACATTGGAAGGCCCCAAAACCCAGCATCATGAGCGTCAGCTGGTCCTGCCTCCAAAATGCGCTGCCCCATCCCGGAGCGCATTTTGAACGGTGCCTATCAGGAAGCATGCAGGAAGACCCTCGTCGTAGGGGGGGGGAGGGGGCGGTTCAAGCGAAGTTTCAAAGCGGAGGGGGGGGTACGCTAAGAGGACCGACCGCACCCCCAGCGTCACCGAACCGCTCCCTCGACGACGACACCCCTAGCGTACATCCTGCTAGAGCCACCCCCTTGACGAGAGTACCCCGCGTACCCCTAGCGTACCCCCCCATTTCATCGCCTCCCCCGCTTTTGAAATAACGCTAGAACCGCCCCCACGACGAGCACACCCCCAGCGTACCGCCTGGTAGAGCCGCCCCCTTGACTAGCGTACCCTCCCCCCCTTGGAACCTAAACGAGAACCCAACATCCGAGATGTTTTTTTGGGAGAAAGACAACCCAGCTTAGATGTATCTATGATGGAGGCTCTATTGTGTGGTAGGGAGAGTTTGTTTGGCCCTTTGGGAGTCTACGGCTTTGGCAAGTCTTCCAAGAGGACTTTCAGTTCTTCGCGAAAGAAGCGAAGAGCCCAGCCTCCAATGGCACCACGAAGCACCGCTCCTATGGAACAGGCGCACGTGAAAGTGAGCTAAACGGGGCGGTAAGTGTGAGGTGTGGATGAGGGGTATCTGCAAGCTTAGCTTTTTTTGTAGCTTCGCAAGGCTTCTCGACCGTGATGACCGTGAGCCTGGAAGAGTCACGCTTGGATCTTCTGAACGCCGAGTCCGTAATGGCTCAGATCGATGCGGCGCAGATCGACCTGCTCTTTGACAGGCTGGGCAGAAAAAGCGTTCTGGGCTCTGCCAGTCAAAAAGCCCCCACAAACTGTCCTAAGTGGACTGTTTTACAAAGAGGCCATGAAAACATTCTGGGAACTACCTGCATGTGCCACCTTTCCCAAGAAAAGGTCTGCGGGCTTGGAGCTGCGTGCAGTCCTGCACTTCATGGGTGAGGGGCTCAGCTCCAAGGGCCTTTGCTCATTTGCTTTCATTGGGTGTTTCTCACAATGCAGTGTTTTTCAGTCCTTACCGTATTAATTTCCGCAGAATCCCTGCAAATTCCTGGGGTCCTTGAATGCCACAATGCGCGTGCTCAATCCCCCTAGCTCGAGAACGCAAAGCTTGAAGAAATCCCCATGCGCGCCCCCAGAACATTCCCCATCCCTCTTCAATCCCGAAATATTCCTTGAGTTTTGGTCATCATGGGTTCTTGGACTCATAGCCATCATAGCCTCCAGACCAATCCACTGGACATCTCTCCAAGGCCAGTTGGCCCAGGTCTCCAAGGCCGGGTTGGGGGTTTCTAGTCTCCCTTAAGTAGATAAGATATGGGGTATGCGGAGATCTTATTACAATATACCCAAAGCCATATTCTATCTACTTAAGGGGGACTGTAAGCGTTTGAGCCGTGGATGTCTTTTGGGTGGACGCCCAAGAACAGGATACTGGTTTCAGGCTGCAACTTGTCATTTGGGAGAGCACTGTTCCTGTGCGCACCAAGCCCCACCATGCAGCTGACAAGAGACCAAAGGGTTGCAACGTGAACCCCAAAAGGCACCCCCAAATAAACCCTAACCGTTCTAACCGTTCTAACCGCCCTTCAGCTGCCTTGATTTCTGCAGGAGGAGCTGGCTTGCGAGGAGATGCCCCGTCGGGACCTGAGGAATGCAAGCGCGGCAGAAGACAAAGCAAGACAGAGGAGAGTTTCTCCGCATGGGTTTCAGGAAGGGACCCTTATTTTGGGGGGGCTTACAGGCATTGAATTGGATGTTGTGCCGTTACACTGGCGGAGCATTTTCGCTACCATGAGGACTTCCACCGGTCAGAATGAACGCACTCCTCCTTGAGGCATTTTTTCGCTGCAGAAGCTGGTGGAGGTGGCCATCAGCAACTTGATGCGTCCGCCCGAGGCGGAACCCGAAGCCCTTGCCTTCTTTGTGCTTCCCCTCAGTAAGGATGTACAGGGATTATGGGGCTGTGTATGTGGAAAAATTTGCAGTCGGGATCCAGCCCTGGCGCGGACCCAGCTGCAGCTTTCTGTCAGGTTTGGTCCGAGATTTGGCGAATAGTCAGCCGGCATTTGGCCGATGTGGCGAGCCATCACAATGTCAGTATAGGCGGCCGGATGCGGATGGATACCTTGCAGGAAGTAGCTAGGCCGCTCTCTACATCTAGGCTCTTAGCTTGGACAGGTCTCTACGCCATCAACTGCTTAAAGCAGCTGGCGATGAAATTTTTGGAACATGAGGAAGTGCGCCAGCAGGAGACAAAGTGGACTTCTCTGCTCTTTCCGTACGTTGTGAAGACCTGTGGCGCCAGGAAACCTTCGGGCAAGTCCTGCTGGAGCCCTTCGAGAAGTTAATGAAATCTAAGCTGGCCAGCCCCGAAGTCAAGGCTGGGGTGGTTTGCTGTCATCATCACAGGTATCTGGAATCTAGAAGAGACTTGGGAAAAAGTCTCATGTCAGGGGCTTGTCGTGTCGAGCGTCGACTTCATGGCCCCTTGGCTTGTCAAAGTGGATTCGCGAGGTTCTCCGGAGAAGTTGTGGTCCTTGTAGCCCTCAAAGACAAAGCCAAGACTCCTTTCTTGAGATGGGAAGTGTCGCGCAGGTAGAGAAACGCCCTGGCTCCATCGGGGCAGGCTGGGCGCAGGCGCCTCCAGCCTCACGGCCTCACTGTTCTTGGAGCAGTTTCCGCAGTGATCTGGGAAGGTCTTCCAGATCCTGCAGCTGGCGGCCTCAGAGCCGAAGTCTAACAAGGCCACTGGCTTCGGCAGGTTTTCTTGTGCCTCTGTCAGGGTTCTAGCAGGAGTCTTGGCCACTGCTCAGGAAGTCCTGGATGCCGCCTTCGCCATCATGAAGGTCGCCGTGGCCTCGCGCTGCCACCTGGATAGGACCCTGAAGCCTTCGAGCCTTCAGTTTTTGAAGTTCAGACTTGGAGGGCTTCCTCTGATTCCTCTGGTCCACAGGAACTTTGCAAAGAGCGTCCACGCTCTACTGGCTTTCGGCCATTGCCGGTTTGCCGCCATCAGCTTCCAAGCTCTGAGTATTTTGAGGCACTTTGAGCCTTCGTAAGCCTCATAGGGAGAAAGCCGCAGAATATCACAGAATTCAACACATCATCGTCGCCTTCTCTTCACATCTTCTCTCCTTCATACAATTCCCCCACTTAGTGAGCTAGGAGAGGAGCAGAACCTACACACCTCACCCATCTCGCCTGTACGCTGAAAGCGATTATAGATAGCATCAAAGAGAATCAGAAGAGGGTTTCTGTTTACGTTTTGATGATAGGTCACATTCGCTAACCTGAAGCTATTCATGCGATTTGAGCCAGGCAGATTGCAGATGACCTCGCGCAGACAGACGGCGAGACTGAGGCCAATCCCTCGCTGCCCTTGGGGCATCCGGGAGCTTCTCCACATCGTGAGATCATGTTCTGATTTTTTTTTATCATTTGGATCTCACTTTTGATCTCATGGTTTGATAGATGCCCATTTGGGTTGCGAAGCCTTGGGATCTGCGGAGCGTGAGGACTGGCTCCTACTGCTGAACGGGATGACTTCCATGATCGGTGACCTGCGGCAAGATGTCTCTGTGCGAGCCACCGTGACGGCAAGGATCTTACTGCCAGCGGATGAAGTGCAAGAGCCAGTTGCAATGGGGTGTACCGTGCCTTTTGTGGATTTAGGTGCTGAAAACCTTCAGTTCGTGAAAGTAATGTGCGTTGGACTGCGCCACGCGTTTACGCATCGTGCTGGAATCCTTTTTTGAGGAATCATCCTTGTTTTTTTGATGCTTCTGTGTTTTCAGGGTCCTGCCTCTTGTTTTCTGCTTCTGGCTCCTTCTCTGGTTCTGGTTGCTGCTTTTTGCTTTCAGTTTTTTTGCCTGTTGCTTTCTGTTTTTGTTACATATTTGTGCTTTCTGCGTTTTGCTTTCTGCTTTGTGCTTTCTGCTTTTTGCTCTTTGCTTGTTGCTTTCTGCTTGTTGCTTTCTGCTGTTTGCTTTTTTGTTTTCTGATTTTTGCTGGTTGCGTTTTGCTTCCTGTTTTTTGCTTCCTGTTTCTTGCTGCCTACGGTCTGCTTCCTGCTTTCTGCTTTTTGCTTTGTGCCTCCAGTGTGCTGCTTTTAATTTCCTCCTGCTTGTTGACTACACTGGCTGCTTCAACCAGTTTGCTGCTTGCTTCTTCCTTTCCGCTTCTCGTTTGCTATTTTTGGCCTTTTGGAGGCTCTACGTCACGAGTACCTGAACTTCTCCCATCCAGAATGCCATTTGAGACGCCGCACACACTCCTCAAAGCTGCCAGTAGCGGGAAGGTGCTGTGGGAGATGGGGGTGCGTGCGCCGCGACCCCCCAACACAGGGTAGGTTTTGAGTCCTGTTTTTGCTTGCCGCACCTGCTGAGTTGAAGTGGCAGTGTTTTTATTCAGAGACTTATTGAGATGCAACTCGAGCAGCGCATTCTCAGCAAAGCTGCCACGAGCGGAAAGCCATCCATGCTTACGGCAAAAAAATGTCATCGCCGTGTATGCAGTAGGGCAAGGTTGTGAGGCGCAGCCCCCCCCCCCCATTTGCAAACAAAATGATTCGCACAATGCACCCCTAGGGCAACCATGGGGAAACATGATCTGTTTATCGTAAGCATGGATGGGTTCAACAAAGGGGGAGGTTGGTGGAGGGGCAGCCCCCCCCACTTGCACACAAAATGATCCGCACAGCAATCCCCGCCAAACCTGGTGTTGACATGTTTTTTTACCGCAAAGCATGCATGTCTTCCAAAAAAGCGGGAGGGTTGGGAGGTCCCTAGTTGGCAGACAAAATGGTCGCTAAATGTTGAAAACAAGCGCTGCTTTATGCAACTTTATATATGTATTGCTTGCAGTCACATATTTGGAGGAACTTGATATTATGATGCTTAGATTTTGAAATCCTCTTTTTGAAACGGTCATTAGTAGATCCTGAACTATTTAGACTTTTTCAAAAAGTGGACTCGAGTTTTGCGAGCAAATTTCCATTTTTCAAAGGCCATACATGCATGCAATAAAGCGCACGCATCATGTCCTCACCATGTTTGCAGTACGGGGTGGTTGTGCGGATCATTTTGTTTGGGCTGCGACCCCCAAACCCCGCCTTGTTGAATCCATCATGGCTTACGGTATATATAGTTAACAAAACTCGCAGCCCATGCACGTTTTGCTATCATGGTAGATGACCGGTTAGGAGTGTAGTTGTAGGTGACATGACACACTCTTTGGCTCAATGAAGAGCCACACTGCGCGCTGTGTTACTCCTTGTCTAAGTACCCTTTTGCGTACTTAACTGGTTAACAGCCTCATCATTGCTTCCATATACTTTGCACTTGGTAAGAGATTCCGCTGGAATAGGTTGCGTAGGAATCTCCTTCGTCACTTCTACCAATCCCTGGACTTCACCTTGCGGTTGTTCCCATTGCATTGTATAGGTCTCATTCCACCCTATTTGGACGATACCTTGGTCCCTCGGTATCACCTTTGAAACTCATTGCCAGGCACGCGATCTCCGCAGCGAGAGAGAGCTTCACCTCGGTTCGAGGCTCCATCTTGCACAGCATCCGTTGACCTGTTCTCCTGACTCTAAAGAGTAACTCGCTATAACCCCGCCTCGTGTCCTCTCCGACAAACCCGTTCATGGCTTTTAGAGGCTAGGCCAAGTGGACACCAAGGCTTCTGTAACTTGAAATCGTAGTCAGGTTTCTTACGACTCAAGTGCTTTCATGATTTGATCCCCAGCAGGTGCGATCGTCCTGTCCAAGCTCCGCAAACAACAAATCTCCCAGCTCGAAGTAGTTTCACTAAGGGTCGTTGCTCCGCCACACCCAAAGCACTCCGGAACAAACTTGCTAAGGGTTGTTGGTCCGCCACACCCAAAGAATTTCCAAACAAGCCTGGCAAAGCAGCAAAAGCACGAAGTGCGGCGCAAAGTGCCCCAATCCTAAGAGGTTGAATTCGGGAGTTGTTGGGTCACCACACTCCGTCCTTTGCAATCTGTGGCTCAGACCAGCCGGTGGTTGGCATTGGTTTCGGTTACTTTAACATCGCACATTCATTCCACATAGTGAGGTGTGCCATTGTCATTCCGGCAGTGAGGTACCTAGCTCAGGCACTTTGCAAAGCACTGAGGCATATTTGTGCTAAGGTTAAGGCACTTCGCAACTTGGGATTTGGGTACTGACGTGGTAGGGCTTGCCATCCGTGTCTCGGCTTGGTAGGGCTTGCGACCCATATCCAGCAAGTAGTCTACTGCCTTTGTTGTGTGGTGGCTTGGTCATCGTTCCTGACTGCTTGGAACCGCGTGGAGGCGGAGCGGGACTTCTCTGGTAGGATTGCTCACGCATTCTGGAGGGGTCCGGAGGAGGCACTGAGATCGAGGCCCTTGAGACCACTTTAGTTGCCAGCAGTGCCCCAGACGCCGCCACCCAGCTGGTGAGAGTACGGCAACGCGAGCTGCAAGGTTTAGATTCGTGCTCGCTGCCTCTCCAGGTCTTGTTGGAGGAAACATTGCGAGAGTTGCAACAGCTGTTTCCACCACCGCCGGTGCCACCGAGTACCGCGGAAGATCAACAGGGTCTAGGTTTAGGTACTTTAGATTCGGGTCGTCCATTGCCTCCTGAATCTCAAACTCCAGTTCCCAGGCACTCTCATCCCACTTCAGCTTCAGCAGCTGCATCTTCTACTTCTGCATCACCCTTCCGGCGGCCTTTGGATTCTGAGCTTGTGCGACCGAAGGCCAAATTGCTGTAGCGCAACCCGCCCAATCTAAAGCACGAGCCATCCAGCAGGAAGCCCAAGTGTTTGCGCAGAGTGTTCAGAATGAAGCTCAGGCGTA